CCTCATTCTATAAATGAAGAGAATGAAGCTCACAGTCTGACTTTCCCAGGGTCACACTGCTAACACATGTCAGTAGCAAGCCTTAAAGGCAGGTTTCCCAACACCAAACCCAGAGTTCACTCTACTGAAAGGCTACACAACCCTTGTACTCAGAGAAGAATAAGGAGCTCTCCTCAGAAAAGAGCTCAACAGTCTAGCTGATCAGTGTGCAATATTAACCACTGTTGTGAGGCTGATGCTGGGCCAGCATCATCTTCTGTCAGAATACACAATCCTAGAGAAACATCAGGTCACCAGGCAGAAGACCTTCAATCTAGAGCGGGAAAGGACCTCAGAAGGCACTGAGTCCCAACCCCTCCCCACCTTCTTCTACAGTCTCCAGTCTCTACTCAGAGACACTCTGCCCCCACCCCTATCCAGGTGCACTAGAAACTCCCGCGAAGTACCACAGCTTTCTACTTTGGACAACATTTATTGTTATGTCAAATTTCTAACAAAAGTTGAAGTTGGTGTAAAAACAACTTCATCAGAGGTAGAAGAGACAATAAAGTATTATATATTTATGTATTTCAAAACATTAGAGTCCTCTACAAACTTAGGGTCACTTTCTAATAAAGCCTCAGGGACTTTTCTCTCTCTCCCCAGTGCCACTGGGAAGACTTGTTTTACTATTCCCTTCAAAAAGGCAAGACGATCTACAGAGAAGAAACAGAGCGAGCGTGAGGATGGACAGATGGATGGTGGCCACCGCCTTTTGATTTCCCCCAAACCACCGAAGGCACCTCAACTCCATCCTGGGAGTAAACAGCTGAGAGGAGAACACTAGACAGGTCCCGTGGGACTCTGTCCAGCCTGGTCCACGTCACAGGAGGGCAAGATCAAATGAGGTAACAAGAGCACTATACAAGTTCAAGCTGTCATTTAATGAACCGTCTTGTGTGGTCTGACTTCATGCAGATACTTCTCAATAGCGTCTTACCTTCTGGCCTCACACTCCTACCCCAGAACCCATGGAGTGGGGAACCCCTCACCCCAGGGGGGAACTCTAGCCCTTCACTTGGGCCATTTTGTTGGATGAAAGAGGAAGAAGGGAGTTTAAGTACATATTCATACAGCATCTACTACATGCTTCAAACTAAATTCTAAATGCTTTCTAAATATGATCTCACTGGATCCGCACAACAGCTCTACAAGGTGGGCTTTATTATTAACCCCAGATGAGGAAACTGAGGCACAGCAGTTCAGTGCCTAAGGCTGTATTTGAGCTCAGAGCTTCCTGACTACGGGCCAGGTGGGGAACCTCCAGGCCTTAGCATCTGCCCTGCACCTACACTATACAGTGTCCCAGACAGCACAGGACTCAAGGTCTGGCCGTCACCAATCTCTCTCTGCATCCTGCCAGACTTTCTTTGATGTGTTCTCTCCTCCAACTTGAGGGCAAGCTTCTGCAGAGCAGGGACCCAAGTCTTTTCCACTTGCGTCCTGCAGCTCTTCATACAAAGCAGGCACTTAATGAATACTCTGCCCCCACTCACTGGATGGACTCTTTAGCATAAAATACTACTAAAAACAAGCCAAAGTCCTTATTACTATTCTGCATGAGAAGGACGACAGGTCAGTTTTCTTCCTCAGCTTCTAGGGTTTCTGGCACATACCTTAGTTGAGCAACTTAGAAATCTAATGAGAGAGGTGATAAAAACCTGCACGGGATAGGGGGATGGAGCAAATCACTGATGACAATAGAGTGGGAAGAGCTTTGCTACAGTCTGCAATGACTAAGGGGGAAGTATGTGATGCCCTTACTTAACAGGGGGAGGCAGTATCCCAGATGATCTCAGAATGATCTGTATTAGGCTTTGGTGTGTAAATAATCCTTCCACATACTGACCTATTTTTTTTTTAGGCTAAGGATGAAATTTCTTTGTGGTCTAAGAACGTGCTAGGTGGAAGAAAGAGGTCCATCTGGTTATTAAAAATTTTTAAACAGATTAATTCACAAAATGGATTCTACTTGGAAAAGAAAAAAATCAAATAATGGCCCTTCTCTCTGCCTGTGACCCTGTGGCTTTGCAAATCTCATACTTTGAGGCCAAGGAGGTCTTGACCACCCAGCAACCTCCACCTAGTACCTTGAGAAAAGAAGACAAAGATTATATCATTCTCCATGTTTCCTTATTCTCCAAGGAGGGAAAAAAACAGTATGCAAATACATGTGCATGTGTGTGTACATACATTCATACACACATACACCTACGTACTTTAATAGCTTGCACTAATCCACAAGTATCACATTTTTCATTGAGTAACTGTTCAAATCACAAGATTTCAATGAAGATATAGTGAGAAGTTTAAATAAAGTTGTTGCTAGAGGCAGCTAGGTGACTCAATGGATAGAGCACCAGCCCTGGAGTCAGGAGGACCTGAGTTCAAATCTAGCCTCAGACACATAACCCTCACTAGCTGTGTGACCCTGGGCAAGTCAGTTAATCCCACTGATTAACAAAAACAAAACAAAACAAAAAACAAAAAAAAAGTTGCTGCTGAAAGATGTGACAGCACCAATATAATTTTCCTGCATTTGAAGGACCCCAGCAGTGGGAAGGAGGCTGCTCTGAAAGCTCTTTGTGCACCCAATGGCTCAATGGTTTGACTGGACATCTGCACCACAGGACCAGATCTCTACTCTCCATAGCTGCTTCCCTCACAGACCAGCCTTTATGGAACAAAAGTACTGGGGCCCACTTTCTACACTATAGTTTCCTTCTCTGACAATCACAGCTCCTGGTTTAATTGACTCAGACAGCATTTTTAAGTACCTGTTCTGTACAAGGTACCATGTGACATAGGAGAGACAGATAATACGAACAAGTACCTGCCCTCAAGGGCATTCCATTCTGCTAGAGGATAACGACAGGCAAATAAATCAGAAAAAAAAAACCCCAAGATAAACTAAACTGATGAGGAAGAATGTACAAGAACTAGGTGACTCTTCACCTGAGCCTTAAAGGAAGTAAGAATCCTTGAGGTGAGAAGGAAGTATTCTGGCTCTGAGGCAACAGCAAGGAGGGTGGACTGAAGTGAAATAAATCTTGAAAGGAGAGGCCAATGTACAAAAAATATTCATAGCAGCTCTTTTTGTGGTGGCAAAGAATTGGAAATTGAGAGGATGCCCATCAACTGGGGAATGGCTAAGCAAGCTGTGGTATATGAATGTAATGGAAAACTATTGTGCTATGAGAAATGATGAACAGGCTGACTTCAGAAAAACCTGGAAAGACTTATATGGTCTGATGCTGAGTGAAGTGAGCAGAACCTGGAGAACATTGTACACAATAACAGCCACGTTGTGCAGTGACTAATATTGATAGACTTAACCCTTCTCAGCAATACAAGGATCTAAGACACCTCCAAAGTCCTCATGATGGAAAATGCTATCCACATCCAAAGAAAGAACTATCATTTTTTTCTCTTCTGTTGAGTTTTGTTTCCTCTTTCTGATGGTTCCTCCTATTGGTTTTAATTTTTACTTACAACTTCACTAATGTGAAAATATTTTTAAAAGGAATGTAAATGTATAGCCTATATGAGATTGTGCGCCATCTTGGGGAGGGTGGTGGGGAGGAAAGGGGAGAAAAAATCTTAAACTCAAAAGCATATGGAAGTGATTGTTGATAAATCAAAATAAATTAATAAAATTTAAAAAATAATAAAAAAAAAAAAGAAAGAAAGAAAGAAAGGAGAGGTCAAGCTGAGGAGTCTGTATGTAGCCCTTGCAACACCAAGAGTCCCTGGAGGTTGCTGAATGGGAGAACAAGATGGCCAGATCTATGCCTTCAAAAGGTGACTGGCAGCCGGGAGGGGAAGGGCCACCATCTTTGAGTTGGGAGAGAACTGCATTCACATCCTGCTTGTGACCATGGGCAACTCACTTAATCTAAGCCTTAATCTTTTCTTCTTTAAAATGATGATGATACCACCACAGAAACTATGACACAGGTGGCAAAATGCCACCTTTAATTAAGTACCTACTACAAGCAAGACACTATGCTAGGGAAACAAAGACAAAAAGTAAATAGCATGTACATATTCAAAAACATTCTGAGTCGGTATTTAACAATCTTCTGATGAAGACATGTACTTTTCAGGACCTTTCCTTCCCTCTTTACTCAATTGTTTTTTAAATTTAATTAAAAGAAAAAAAATGGCAATTCTCATTGGAAAGCAGTCAATGCAGAAAAATGAAATATTATTAACATTATATATCTCAATTCTTAATTTCTGAACATCCAAAAGTCCATGTAAATTTCCCACTCTTACTTTACAATTCAGATTAGATTATCTCTATTCCACTCAATCACCTAGTGTATCTTGTACCTCTGATGCCATTAAAAAAAAATCTGAATTTATTTTTGCATTTAGTTTTGGGGAGACAAAGTCCTTTACATATTTCAAGATGTTTCTGGAACAAAGGGATCGTCTGCCTCACTTAGAGAAAAAAGCAATCTGCCCTGGAAGAGAGGCACGTAAACCTGTCCTCCAAAATCAATATCTAAGGTCAACAAATGTTAAAACTCAAAGGAATTTTAGGAGATTGTCTGGTTCAAACTTTTTACTATTAAGGAAACTGAGGGTCCAAAGAGTAATAACAAGCAGCAGAGCCCAGACTTAAGATAAAAATCAAAATCTACCAAAAATATGTGGGAGTAGCTTCACTCCAACAATTTCAGTGTGGAGGCTACTGTCCCAACTGTCAGCCAGTCAATCATTAAGCACTTACTATGTACTACGCACCAGGGTAAGTAGGGATACAAAGAAAGGCCAAAGACAAATTCTGCTCTCAAAGAGCTCGCAGCCTAATGGGAAAGGAGACAACATGAAAACACCATGTACAAACAAGATGCACATAGCATAAATTGGAGATAATCAAATAAGGAAAAGCACTAGCATTTTAGATAGATAAATAGCTAGAGATGATAGAGACATATGTAGTAGAGACTTACCAGGTTAATATTGTATGTTTTACAGGTGAGATCATCCAAGCTCTGGTTCTGCAGCTTCTCTGTTATTAGTGTTACCATGGTAGGGGTCCCTTTTCCACTGCTCACGCTGACAAGCATCGGTGCTCCTCCGTGTCCCACTTCACAAATTTTGGGCCATCGCTGGATCTACACTAGTCAGTCTCAAGACTTACACTTCCATTTTACAGATGAAGAGTTTACGTTGAAGATACTTTCAGGGTTTCATGCCTACTCTTCTGTAAAGAGAAATTATCACATGTAACTACAGACATCATCATCTTATATCATTTAGCTATCAGAAACATATCACATTGATAAAATGCTTTTAAACATCATTTTTAGTTGTTTAGCTTAAACATCCTATGATCTGGGACAGCCTCCTCTCATTTTTTTAATGGAGAAACTAAGGCATTAGTTGAAAAAGCTTAAATTGACAATTTAACATAGGGAGCAAAGGGCATGATGACCAGAATTACTGACTTAACCCACAAAACTACATAGCGTCACTTATTACAAGTTAAGATTTATACCAATTTTACTATCCTTTGCTATTTAAGATTTTCAGATTCTACATCAGTGATAGATATAACTCCCAAAAATATACTGATTCCTTCTCCTTCCAAGAAAGGCTATTCTTAAAATCACTCGTTCGGCAATTATCTTCTTTCGAAAGATCCCAAGGGCAAAGATATTTCCTAAGTTCTCTTCTTCCCTCTAATTTTGTACATTTTTCAAAGCCATCTACAGCTAAAGTGTTAGGAGGTGAGGTAGCACTTAAATCCTCCTGTGTATACAAAGAGGTAGCAACATCTGCATCATACAAGATTCTTAGTTTCTAAGGATCTCGAAAAGAGGTTTCCCTTCTAAAAAGCTAGTGAAGGCTATGGAACTCCTTTCAAACAGAAGTCAAGATGTTAGGACATAGGTGAGCATGTTTTCATCTTTCAATTCTCTTCAATAGTGGAAATGTAATATTAAAAAAAAGAATAGCAATAAAAGCTTGTAAAAATTTTTTAAAGAGTGGAAATGTACTTCATGACTGAAAACTCAGCTTCCCTCAGAGACAGACCAAAACAAATTCTAGTCTAATAACTTGGATTATATTTCCAGCCATAGATTTAAACTAAAGCTCTGAAGTGCTAAGCTCTACCTTGCACCTTTCTCACTTGTAAACTTGTTGAGCATTCTTTCTACTCCACCAAAATCAGTGATACTAAAATAAGAACACCACCTTATGCCTGGTCCCTGACAAAACTTCACACTCTGTGCTACCACCTCACGCAACATTCTATTTGGATGGTACCTGAACACTCACTCGACCTCATGCCCCATGAAATGCAGAAATCAAAACTAAACCTTGCTCCTCCGTCATCTAGCTTCTGCCACAATCAGAGATAAAATTACCTAGTTTTCAAATTGGGTTGCTTTACAACAATTACACCAACAAAAATCAATTTTGTCACCACTTATTTATTTATGTACATGTATGTCCATCCAAGTACACACAGATAATAAGAAAGTCAAAATTTTGTTAAGAGTGGGCAACAGATAGGACTGTTCCCATAGGCAAACATACTGTACAAGGCTCCAGAGGAAGGCGAGAGATCTATTTAATGGAATCAAGGTTGTACGTAAAAGCCTTATTTCATAGCTTTCTGCTTACTGATAATTTTTCTTATGCTTTGTTTTGTTTCTGAAGAGGGGTAAAAGAGGCTCTGAAGTTAAATACTCCCTAGTACTGGCAAAGGTCAAAGGGTCATTACTGACGGGACTCCTAGACTGGGTGGAGGACTGAAAGAATTGACCTAATTCAGGAAATGTTGGGAAAAACTTGCGTTCATAATATGCTATTAAATGAATACACCTGCATATAGAAAACATTTACTCTAAGATAGAAGAAGTGAGCCCTAAAAAGGCAAATCTATATCGTCTGGTAAGTAATGGTTTACCATGTTTGTAAATATGTCTAAAAGGTTCTTTGGCAAAATGTTAAATGTATATTTGTTCAATTTCTTGTTTTGTTTTCTTAACTCTAGTTTCAACTTCGCATTTTAATGAACTTTAATATATTTTCAGCACATTCACTAACTAGGAGAAACTATTTTGAAAACTACTGATGATATAAATGGTTAATTCCTCAAATAACTGTCTAAAAATTTTAAGCCATTACAATTAACACAGATTAGATTCACAGGATATACTTCTAGATGGTGAATCTAAAAGAAAATAATATATTCCTAGTTCCCCTAATTTGAGTTTTAGACAATTTTCAAAGACCCTACCCAACAGACAATTTAAGTTACTCGAAGTACACAAGTATGATTACTCTACCTACCCCTCCAACTCTTCCCTCAAATCATTAAATACAATCTTAGATTAAATTTCCAAAAATGTAAAGATTCCATGAAACTCTTGTGACCTATTTGTATCTGTTTCTGCCTCAAATACAGTCCACTGGAAATGTCAGTTGAGTATGATAACAAAAAGACTTTGCCAGGGTGAACTTGATTTTTCTTTCTGGTATTGCTATATACATGTAAGCAAGCTTTAAAAAACAATATCAACTCAATGAGAAGTATCGTGTTGTCGTGGATAAAGGACCAGTCTTGGAATCAATTCGAAAGACCTGAATTTACCTGAATCACCTGAAGGGAATGTACACTTGCTGCATGGCCGTGGAGTTGTGCCTGAAACAATTCTAAGACCAAGTCCTGGACAAGCTAGTAATTTGCTCTGGTGAAGGGAGTTTCCACACTGGAAACTCCCCACCTGATAAAATCCTAGATCCCAACAAAATGAGAGATAATTCAAAAAATAAATCTCCTGTAAAAGGCAGCTGATTCTAAACTTCACTTTGCAACAAGTGAGAGCTGCAGGGAAGAAAACAAATAAACACAGAAAGATCAAAACAAGGAGCAAAAAACTTTTTTTGTTGTTCTTATCACATACATGCTCAGAGGCAGTGATGATAGGCAGTAATTCTGCAGTTCAGATTTGCCTGTGCAACCAAAACAAGGCAGAGAAAGAAACAGATAATGAAACAGACTTCCCTCCTTTTGTTAAAGAGATAGGAGACTATATACAGGTTCAGAATGTTGCACATGCCATCAGAAACTGTAGTTTTGTGGGTGTTTTGTTGGTGTTGCTATTTTGTAACATGGGAAGGTAGATCAGGAAATAACTCTGTTGTAAAAAGTTAAAAGGGGCAGAGGAGGAAGGAGGGGGGATTCCTAGGAGTTTCCCATGAGGCTAAGCTGCAAAGTCACTCTAGATTCTATTCCTCAGGAAGCCAGGTAGCCATAAGCACTCTGACCAAATACTGGAGTTGAAGCAAGGATAGGACAGAAATTCCAACTGATGGTACAGGTTAAAAGATGTATGGAGGTCAAACTACTGAAAAAAATTAATAAGACAAACAAAATGCCTGGTTCTCTTTGTGTTACCCCCAAGATCATCCTCAGGTTCAGCCTACAAAAAAAAATATGTACATATACTCATTTTTACTCTGTGAATTAAACCAGTGGAAAAACTAGAAGACAAGTTTAAAGTCATGAAAAATAATATTCCCTTCTCAGACACATTCTAGAAACTGTCCTTATACTCCACTCCTAGCTGTGGTCTGGTTTATAAATTATAAAATCCTAGAATTAGAGACCAAGTTCAGATGCCAACCCATGCCCACCCTAATGGCAAGAAGGGGAAAAGCTGATTCCAAATAAGACTGACCTTTAGGCCAGGTGCCAAAAAAGAAGAGTCAGAAAAAAAGGCAACAGAAAAATCTTTCCCTCCCCCTTTAAAACAGGCTACTTCTACCCTAAAATTCACATACCCTTAAACTGGGACCAAAAGCATTCACGTGAAAGATTTCTTCCAGAAACAGACTATAGCAATAATCTGTATAGAAGAAATTCTAGCACCTCAGAGAAGATCCCAATGCCACTTGTCCAGCATTTCTGTGTTCCTCTCTATTGTGCTAACTCCATGGTCTATCAAAGTCCTTTCTTCCAGCCCAGGCCAAGGCCAGGACTCCCAGACTCTTGATCCCAGGAGTTTTTGCCTGTGTTCAACTTTAAGGCCTGGTCCCTGGCAGTCTGCGTTACTTGAGGAATTGTGCAAAGACCTGAACAATTACTTTCAAGAAGAAAAAGTAGTGAGCTATGACTCTATGGCCATCTATATGTCATCTTGCCTAGAGGCAAAAGGATGGATGAGATTACCTCAAGGTCTCTCTCAGCCTACAAATACAGAGCAAATCAAGGTTTTCAAAATTATTTTCAAAAAGAAATTTTGTTTCTTGCCCACCATGCTCCTCTTCTCCCTAGCTTTTCAATAAATATGATCCTGTTTCAAAGACATGTCACTTTTAGCTTCCCTTATGTTTTTAGTTACTGAGATTGATCAGAGACCCAAAACTTAATGACTTTCCTCATGCTCCTTGCACGAAAAGCAGAATCAGAAGGTTTTATTAACTTTTAAGAGACTTCTCAAAGCCCATAGACTTCATAATCTGCGTCCTTCTAAAGCAGTAATTAAGTATCAAAATTTTCTGTGAAAGAACTTTAAATACTCAAAGGGAGCCACCTGAAATGGGGGGCACCCCACCCAGAAGGCATTTAGCTCCCAAAAAGTAGCCAACAAACCCCTTTTCAATCAGGCCATTACTTTTGACTTTTAATTCATCTGACTGTGTCCTCATTCACAAAAACCAGCTATTCTATATAACATGTGTTATATAGGACCCACTATCCCCACTGTGGTTTAAAAACTTCTTTAAATGTAAAACAATGTAAAAAAAAGTTTGTATTTTATATTGCTATTAGCAGTTTTTCACATTCAACTTAGCTATTCCCTTTTAACAGAATAATAAATATGTATGTAAAAAAATTAAAGGGGAAATAAAAGTCTGTAAGGTTAAAAAACAAAGCTCGTTTACAGAATGACTATACAAAACACGAATTTAAAGAACTAAAAGACAAGTAACACAAAACAAGACAAGCAAAGATACTAACACAACTTCTTACTTTCCTTTCTTATTCAGAAAGTACCCCAAGGTGTGAGGTGTCTTACAGACACACCTACTGCTGGCATTCAAAATCTACCCTGCTCAGAGAAAGCAGCGCTTTGAAAGGAGCCCTTTCCTCATTCCACCCCACAAGTCACTGCCTTACACAATAAGTCAGTAAGTAAGTAGGTGTCTGACCTGGCAACAAGACACAGTTTGAACAAGTATTCGCTG